CCACCATCTCTGTCTGTCCCCCCCACCCTGCACGTCCCTTTGTCTGTCCCTCCCCCTATGCATTCCCCCCACAGCTGTCGGTCTGTCTGTCCCTCTGTGCGTCCCTCTGCACACCTCTTTGTCTGTCTGTCCCTCCCCCCCTCATGCATACCTCTCTGTGTATCCCCCCACACGTCCCTTTGTCTGCCTGTCCATCCCTGCCCCATGTGTGCCCCTCCGTGTGTCCTTCCTGGCACAGCTGTCAGTCTCTCAGTCCCTCTGTGCATCCCCCTGTACACCCCCGTCTGTCCCTCCCCCATGCGTGCCCCTCTGTATAGCCTCCCTGTACACCTGTCCCTCTGTGCATCCTCCTGCCCACCCATCCGTCTATCCGTCCCTCTGTTTGTGTATCCTCCCCACACACAGCTGTCAGTCTGTCCTCTCTGCATCCCCCCTGCACACCCATCTATCTGTCTATCTATCTCTAGTGCATGCTCCTCTGTCTGTCCCCCATGCACACCCCTCTTCCGTCTCTGTAATTTGCTCATCCCAAATCTGATTCTCATCTGTTGTAGGCAGGACCGCCGAGAGCGGGTTCGGACCCCGGTGAAATTTTTTTTTTCAGGCCCACCAGCAAGGGCGGACCAGCTAAACAGGGCCAACAAGGGGTGGGGGAAGCCGGGCCCCCTTCCGGACCGCCAGGCCCTGGTAATTTGTACCGGTTTACCCCCCTCTCGTCGGCCCTGGTTGTAGGTAGCTAAACTAGTTCTGCTCTCACTACAGACCTCTTGGGGGCTGCTTTCCCACTCCCTCCTGAATTTTTGGAGGGGTGTGTGTGTGAGGCTTGGTTTGGGGCATTGTAACTCTGTGGGTCCTCGGTGAGTTGTAGTCTGCATGGGGGACCAACCTTCTGCCTCCCCCATTAGTTCTTTTGCTGAGCTGCCAACCTTCCTGAGAGCGAGCTGGTCACCTCTGTGCGGCAACGCAGCAATGTCCAGTGCTTAACTTGGTTTGGCAGTTCAGAGCCCTGGCGCCTCTGAGTTTGCTGCATCAGTTATGAATGTAAAAAAAAAATTGCTTTGAGCCCCAGCACTTAATTCCTTGAGCTCCGGCATCTCTTTCAGCACAAATTAAGCCCTGGCTGGCTGTCCTGGGCTGCAGGGCATGGGGTGTCTCTGAGCTGCTCCCTGCTCCTGGACTTTAAAAACTGATGCGATCTCCAGGGTGGGGCAATCTAGCTGAGTCACTTTGTGCTGCCTGGCCTTGGACCCAGCTCTGCTTAGGAGGGTGGACTGGAGCGGGTTGGGGCGGTTTCGCTTTGCTCTGAATCGATTTGACTAGCCGAGTTGGTGTTCTTTCTGTGCAGATCTGTGTGTGTGTTTGTGTGCTGCGGGGGCGGGAGGGACGGTGTTGGAATGAGAGTTGGGGCTGGATTAGGCTCATTTCTTGTAGCAAAGCGTTGTCCCCTGACTGTACCTTCTATCCTAACCCCCCACCTCCTCCGACAATGCACCAGCTGCAGATACAGAGCTGGGGGCTGACGTATAATTGCCCCTCTCCTGTGGGAGGGCTAAGGGTGGTTGGAGTGCCTGCTTTCCCATGCTCCCCCAAGGAATGGTGGTGGTGCCAAAGGATGTCTGGGGTTAGTCTGACCCTGAGGAATGGGGGAGCCTGCATAGGGACCCCTTCCCCCATCTCAATCCAGCTGTAAATTCTTGTTTCGCTGGTGACTGTTACCGAGCAGCATCTGGGGAGAGAGGAAAAGAACACTAGAGGTTTGGGTTTCGGATACTGCGGGTGGGGGTCCTTGCCCAGAGTTGGCTTAACACTGATGGAGCCGCGGTCTTGATTGTAAGGTCTTTGGGGCAGGGGGCTGTCTGGGGGTGGACAGGACCTAGCGCACTGGAGTGGGGAGGGGAGCTGATGGCTTGAAGCAGAGATTAAGTGGAGTTTGAAGAGGGCTGTGGAGGAGCTTGGGGGGGCATGTGGGGCGCAGCGTTGGGGGATGGCAGAGGAAGCCAGGGAGGTGATGGGGCTGGAGCGGTGGAAGCGGGAAGGTGTGGGGGTGCCTGTCAAGCAGCTCAAGACGGGGGAGCTCTGAAATTACCCAGCGGCCTCTCCCGTGTAGGCATCTCAGTGCCTCTGCCTGGGGGGGCAGGTGCATTGGTGGGGACGGTTATGCCAGCTCCGAGTCCTCGGAACCAGAGTCAGCCGAGCTCAGCCTGCAAGCATTGCCCTAAGCCACACCTGCTTGGCTAGATAGGAACAGCAGCTGTTTCCTCCTGTGATCCTGTGTGTTCCTCTGCTCATTTGCTTGGGTACACACGCTGCGGGGCCAGCAGGAGAGGAGACCGTGAGGGTGGGGGCTGTGGACTTCTCCTCCTGGGAGGGATGGAAAATCAGTCACCAGCCAGAACTGCCTCTTGATGAGGACATGGGGCCTGGTGGCTAGAGCATTGGGCTGGCAGCCAGGAGACCTGGGTTTTGCTCCTGGCTCTGCCAAGGTGACCTAGGGCAAAGCACTGCCCCTCTCCGGTCTCCTCTTCCATCCTTTATCTAGTTAGATGGTAGGCTCTCTAGGGCAGGCCCTGATCTCTGTTAGGGGTGCAAACAGCAGGCTGTCCCCATCTGGTGTTCTCTTCTCCGAGCTCTAGGCCTGGCTGGGCTAATCCACTGCTGCACCAGAGACTTGGTCCTGGGTGACCCATGCTTGCCCAGTGCTACTTACCCGCTTTGCCTAACAGTGTGTCTTTCCCTCCAGGTGACTGGACACTTCTCCTCTCTAACCATGTGGGATCCCAACGCAGGTGAGGGGCAACAGGACCGATGGCAAATCTGGCAGGTTTCTCAGCTGCTCCTCTGGCTTCCCCTCTGATGCTCCCCCGTTCTTTGCCTCAGCAGGGGAAAGAAGGGGTATGGGGCTCCCTCTTGCCTCTAAAGCGGCAGGTTCAAATCTAGCCCAACTTGGGTGGTCCACGTGAAATGAGCTGGAGGTTTTGGTGGCAGGTTCTGTGGGATGCAGACGCAGCATGTGCCTCATGCTAACTCTGCATCGGTCTTCCACTGCAGCGCACGAGAGGGAGATTCCCATGCCTGAGCTAGTCTTTTTTGGTGACAAATCTGAGGAACTGTCCCAGATTGAGGTGTCAACAGAGGAAGTTGTGGAATTAAACTCTAATAAATCAACAGGATCAGATGGGATTCACCCAAGAGTTCTGAAGGAACTCAAATATGAAATTGTAGAACTACTAGTTGTACTATGTAACTTATTGCTTAAATCAGCCTCTGTACCAGATGACTAGAGGGTAACTAATGTAACTATCTTTTTTTAAAAGGCTCCAGAGGCAATCCTGGCATTTACAGGCTGGTAAGCCTAACTTTATAGTAGGCAGATTGGTTGGAACTATAGAAAAGAACAAAATTGTCAGACATATAGATAAACACATATAGGGGAAGAGTCAACGTGGCTTTTGTCAAGAAAAATCATGCCTCACCAATCTATTAGAATTCTTTGAGGGGGTCAACAAATATGTGGCCAAGGGTGAACCAGTGGCTGTAGTGTACGTGGACTTTCAGAAAGCCTTTGACAAGGTCCTTCACCAAAGGCTCTTAAGGAAAGTAGGCAGTCATGGGATAAAGGGACAGATCCTCTCCTAGATCAGTAACTGGTTAAAAGATAGGAAAGAAAGGGTAGGAATAAATGGTCAGTTTTTACTGTGGGGAGAGGTAAATAGCGGGGTCCCCAAATATCTGTACTGGGACCAGTGCTGTTCAACATATTCATAAATGATCTTGGGGAAAAAGGGGTAAATAGTGAAGTGTCAAAGTTTGCAGATGATCCAAAATTACTCAAGATAGGTAAGTTCAAAACTGACTACAAAGAGATCTCCCTACACTGGGTGACTGGGCAGATGAAATTCAATGGTGGTAAATGCAAAGCAATGCACATTGGAAAACAAAAAATCCCAACTATACGTGAAAAATGATGGGGTTTAAAGTAGCTGCTACCACTCAAGAAAGAGATCTGGAAGTCATTGCTAATAGTTCTCTGAAAACATCTGCTCAATGTGCAGCGGCAGCCAAAAAAGCCAATTGAATATCTATCCCTTTCCTAATGGTTCCTAATAATGAGACCGAAAATATCATATTGGCATTATGATAAACCCGTGGTACACCCACCCCTTGAATACTGTGTGCAATTCTGGTTGCCCCATCTCAAAACCGATACATTAGAAGTTGGAAAAGTGCAGAAAAGGGCAACAAAAATGTTTACGGGGATGGAACAGCTTCCATATGAGAAGAGATTAAAAAAACTGGGATGGCTCATCTTAGAAAAGAGATGACTAAGGAGGGATATGCTAGAGGACTATAGAGTCATGACTGGTGTGGAGACAGTGAATACGGAAGTGTTATTTATCTCGTCCCATAACACACGAGCCGGGGTCACCCAATGAAATTAACAGGCAGCAGGTTTAAAACGAACAAAAGAAAGTACTTCTTCACACAACGCACAGTCAGTCTGTGGTATTGGTTGCCGGGGGATGTTGTGAAGGCCAAAAGTATAAGTGGGTTCAAAAAAGAACGAAGCGTTCCTGGAGGAGAGGTCCATCAATGGCTATTAGCCAAGACGGTCATGGTCACACCCCATGCTCTGCGTGTCTCAAGCCTCTGACTGCCAGAAGCTGGGCCTGGACGACAGGGGCTGGATCACTAGATAAATTGCCCTGTTCTGTTCATTCCCTCTGGAGTACCTGGGATTGCCGCTGTTGAAAGACGGGACACTGGGCTAGCTGGACCAGTGGTTCTGAGCCAGCATGGCCATGCCCCACCAGTAGCAGAAACATGTACAGAGGATGGATTCAGCTAAGCCAATGGAGCTGTTCCTCTAGCTCAAGCAATTGCAGCTGGTGCTCTTAGATCCCCAGGACCTGGTCAATTACCCCTGCTGGCAACCCACTGGGGGCATCATTGCAGTCCAGAACCAGGGGAGCCCCCGCTGCCCAAGCAGCAAAGGGGGGAGGCAAAGCTAGGGAGCAGCAGCCAAGCCTGTAATACTTGGTGTCGCTCCCCTGTGCTGTCACGGGGGGGACGGGGGGCAGTGAGGTGCGGAAGCAGCAGTGATGCTGCAGGGTGGGGCTGAGAGCAGGGGAGCAGGGCAGTGCTAGAAGGGGGATATTGCTCCACGGGTGTCTCTCTTCTCCTGCTGGCTGTGACACTGGTTTATTCTCCTTCCAGGACAGCCTGGTGCCTACCCCGGAGCGGCCTTCCCTCCCAACCCCACGTACCCACCTGGCTCCAATCCTGCCTACCCTCCCCCCGGGAACCCTGCCTTCCCCCCGGGCACAGTGCCCCCTGGCTCCTATCCCATCCCTCCAGCGGGGGTTCCAGGGCAGCCTGCATACCCCCCCGGCCACCCCATTCAACCCCCTTTCCCTGGCCAGCAGCCTGGCTACCCTCTGGGTCCCTACCCACCGCCTGCTCCTGGCATGCCTGGGGGGATGGGTATTAATCCCCTGATGCCTGGGACCGTCATGGTCGGGACCCAAGTGCTGGACAAGAAGGCGGCGAAGAAGATGAGGAAGAAGATGAAGAAGGCTCACAAGGTGCACAAGCCACACAAGCTGCACAAGCATGGAAAGGTCAGTGGGGGCGAGGTGGGAGGGGAATGGGGGTGCATTCTGGCATAGTGGTCAGAGGTACATGCTGGATTGGGAGAGGGGAAGGAGAAGGCTTGTGTGTTGGGTTTTTTCTCAGCGCCTGTGTCTGGGTCATCCCTCGCGCCACCCCCCCCATCTGTTCAGCAATTAGTGCCTCCCTGAACCTTGCCAGGGAGGGCGGCTGGTTCGCTTGGGGTGGGGACCCTTCCGCATCCTGGATTGAGTTTGAGTCCAGCCAGTGCTGCTGGTTCCTCATTACATGAGTCTGGAGGGTCTTGGCTTAGTTCCTAGTCTCTGTGGTTAAGGCAGCCCCCCCCTCCACCTCGCCCCTTTACAGTGTGGGGCGGGGGCAATGCAAGTAGGGGAACTCCTCTGGGCATGGCAGGGGAGCCCCTGTACATGGGGGTGTGGCCGGGGTGGGGATTGGTGCATGGGGGTTAGCAGTAGACCCAAGACCCTTTGCCAACTACACAAACCCTGTGACATGGGGGGAGGGTGGCAGTGGTTCGTGGGATCGGTAGGGGGTCACCTGTGGGAGCTGAGTCCTGCTTCCATGGGCAGCAGCTCAGGACCCTGTTAGCAGGGTGCCCCCTTCCTTTCTATTCCCAGCCATCCACCTGCCAACAGCATGTCAACTCCCTGGGCTGAGGTCCAAGCCTCATGGTTTCTCTCCCCTTTCCTGCAGCATTCCTCTTCCTCCTCCTCCTCCAGCAGCAGCGACTGACTGAGGCTTCCCTCCGCCTTCCAGCCACGCATGCTTCCCGCAGACCAGACAGTGATCTTCCCCTGCTACAACCAAGCCACTGGCTGACTGGACTGATGCCAGCCACCTCCCTAACAGCCTGTATAACAGGGCTAGGGACAGAGGCTAAAATCCCCAGGAAAATCTGGCACAGAACAGGGAGCCCTGGTGAGCCATACGCTAATCTGGATGTCACTGATCGGGTGATGGAGGGCACTGGTGCGATCAGAGGTGCAACCTTAGCATTAAAAGCAGGTGCACTGGGGGCCAGGTATTAAAATGCAGGAGCCCTGTAGCAATATTGCAGTTGGGACTCTGAGCTTTTTTTACCTTTCATGACAAGTCCCTTCTGGACTTAAAAATTGGAGCCTCCCGACTCACAGCCTATGCCCCATTCATGATGCAATTGCAGAATAAGTCCTTGCAAATCAAGGCATCTGCACCAGCCGCTCCCTTCATCCCTTGATATTCTGGCTCGTTCTGACTGGCCTGCAGAAATCTGGGGATGTTGCTGACTGGCTGAGAGGCAGGTTTGTTTTCAAAGGCATAAGGAAGTTGGGTATCTAAATGACTTTGGATAAATCTGCCCCCAGTTGTCCATTTTCTGGTGGGATGTTCCTTTTGGGGCTGAGGGAGGAGGTAGTCTATATAGAAACTAATTACAAAAAGTCTATATAGTATGTATAAAAACTAATCACAGAAGTGCTTGGAATAATAGCTCTGAATTAAAATTCTGAATGTCTCATGTCGTAAATGAATGTACATGATCAGGGATAACTTTATAAGAGTTTGAAACTTGATTTTAGTGTGAAGATTTTTTTCCCCCTCTCCCACCTCCCTCTCTCCCCCGCTCCCCAACAAGGATCTTGGAAGGAAAGGGTTGGAGGTGGGGGCTGGTATTCCAAGAGGTCCCCTTGGTGGGAGGAGTAGGGGCTACCCAAATACAGTCTGGCTGACACCGTATAAAACAGAACAGAATGCAGCCATATCTCATCACTAACCCGAACGTATGGCCTTAGAAGACTACAAGTCCCAGCATGCTATGCTCCCCACTGTTCCCAATTGCTGGGCTGGAGCATGGCCTGCTGGGCTCTGTAGTATCTGCAGGCTGCCTCTTCATGCTGAAGAAGGTGACTCAGCGCTGCAACGTGGAGCTGTGTGACATGGCTCAGGGCTATCTTTGGGATGGTTTTGGAGCCCAAGCTCTGCACATGGGCACAGAGGGGACCAAGACGGATTTGGACTAGCCATGACGGCTTGTTGCATGGTGCTCCCATGCATACTTTATTTTAATCCCTCTGGCTGTGGAAGTTGTCTTCTGTACCCGCTGTATACTTGTATCTCTTTATTGCTTCTCCAATAAAGTTTTTTGGTTTTAATACTGAACTGCAGTCAGTGTATCAAAGGTGCTGGTGGCTTCCCAGAATCTGCTGCACCCTCCCCCACAGGGGGGCGTCTGCTTTTAATTGCAGATTTAACCGGCTGGGCAGTGGGCGTTCCCAGGTTCCCCATCTGCAGAGGACAGTTGCAGCCCTACCTAAAGAGCCTTGACTCTTTAGCTCAACCCGAAGCTGCTTGTGCTTTCAGCTCTGGAGAGCCCCAGTTCAATCCCCACCATCAGCCAAAATGGCAACCGTCGCCTAAGCATCAGAGGAAAATTCCTGCCACCTCCTACCATGTCTCTGGTTGCTTCCCGAGTCTTGGTCAGTGTGCCAGGCTGAAGCTGCTATTCTGGGCTGAGCTGTAAGTGAGTGAGACCCCAGCCTGCCCTCAGGGCTTATGCTATGTTCCCATGGGCTGCAGCTTCTGGTTTGGGATCTGCCCCCTCCTCCCCGTGTCAGTAAATCTCCCAATCTTTGGTGTGTCTTTTCTTAAAGCCCCAGCTCCTGAAGTCATGATTCCGTGAGAATTTCAACTTCCATTTTAAAGAAGTTTCTAGCCTTCAGGGGTGCAGAGAAAACGAAAAGCTTAAAAATATGACTTGTTGTTGCTCTTTTTCTTTGTGTTGTGGTGAGCCAGGGTCCTGGACCAGGACCCCACTGTGCTAGGTGCAGAACAAAAAGATGGTCCTGGTCCTAGTGGCTTAGACTAATGGTTCTCAACCCAGGGGTCCACGTACCTCTGGGGGTACACAGAGGTCTCCCAGGGAGTACATCGACTCATCTAGATAGTTGCCCAGTTTTACAACAGGCTACATCAAAAACACTAGCAAAGTCAGTACAAATTAAAATTTCATACAGACAATGGCTTTTCTACTGCTCTGTATACCACACACCGAAATGTAAGTACAATATTTATATTCCAGTTGATTTATTTGATAATTAGATGGTAAAAAGGAGAAAGGAAGCAGTTTTTCAGTGCTAGTGCGCTGTGACACTTTTGTATTTTTATGCCTGATTTAGTAAGCAAGTCGTTTTTAAGTGAGGTGAACGTTGGAGATATGCAAGACAAATCCAACTCCTGAAAGGGGCACAGTCGTCTGGAAAGGTTGAGAGCCACTGGCTTAGACTTAGAAATTAGATGGCAAATAACCCCCTCCCCCGTCTCCCCCCCCCAAAAAATCTTTTGGCACTCTCATGGGTTAAGCAAATCTCATGACTTTTAACAGTGATTGGCTATGCTCTACTTCAAGGCCTGCTGCAGTGAATGCTCATCATTGATCCCAACGTGTTGCTGAGTATTAATAGAGCCCTGCACGGATACAAATTTATATCCGCGGATAGAAATCGGTATGCGGTGAACTGCAGGGCCCTGCCGGGAACCACAGCAGCGAAAGGAGCAGAACGTGGGGCTGCCACTCCCAGGAACCAGCGCCCCATGCCGGCAGCTCATCCCATGCAACTGTACCACCCCTGTTCCTTCCGTGTAGCTGTCTGTGTGACTGCTTCTCCTGGCTGCAGTCTGTACAGTCACGCCAGAGGACAGGGCTGGGGGCGGTACAGCCACATGGGAGGAGCTGCCGGCATGGGGCGCTGGTTCCTGGGAGTGGCAGCCCCACGGTTTGCTCCTTTTGCTGCTGTGGTTC